TGATTAGATTTGATATGACCAAGCCAATATCGCATTTTGTCAGCACTTTAGAGCACAAGTTTTTTTTCGAATAATCAATCTTTTGATATTGTGACACAAGGGGGACCTCAGGACTTAATTAGTTGATGCTGTTTCATTTTATTTCTATTTTTCTTCTTGGTGCTGTCAACCTCGTTTTTTCTATGCATAGTTTGTTCTCATTTTTATTGTTTCTGGCCTGTTCTTATTTTAGTTAGTTGTCATTTGTCATCCATCCTACTTCATATTTCACGTTTTGACATATTTAAAACCTGACAACTATGATTATCCTATGTTAAAATTATATTACTAAAATACTTGCATTGCACTTTACATATCATTGGATTGCTGTAATCTCATGTACATGAGTAATCTCAAGTAAAAATGCATAAGCAAATTATTATCATTATTCACAAGGTTACATCACTCATTGGACCAAACTATCGTATATCAAGTATTGTAATGTAATAAAAATTTCTAAAAAATTAACTAACTCACCTCAATCTGCTATTTGCCACAATTTGCTCAGTAATCAACAATAGATAAAAATATTAAAAACAATGAGGCTTATTTGACAAACTAAGAATTAAAAATAACTTTTAAAACAAAACAACATCTTCCCAGTCTTCATAAAAACAAACATTAATCATTTGAAGGTTATGTTCTACTTCTAAGATAGTTCATTAAAATTACAAAAAAAAATAATACTAAATTAAATTGTCGACAAGGACAACTATGAGATCTAATACAATTCTCAAAAAACTCTCTTTCTCATTCTCTCTCCTTTTCTATGTATATATAGATATCAAGACTTAACCTAATAATTACAAAATTTACATAATGGCTATCAATCTCTCGTTCTTATTATTTAAGAATTGCATTCAAAACGACAAAAAGAATAAGTTTGTTTTAATGGTTAAAATAAATACAATAAAAAAATAAAAATCTCTTGTATTGTCTGGTATTTAGCAGAAAAGCGAGCGTAATTTAAGCATGAGCTACTAATATATTCGACGTCGAGTCGGCGTCGGTTGATTAATATAAGATTATGTAAAAATCAGCAAGATGTTTGTTCCCGCAAAAATGCGACACTGTACAGAATGATTTGGCACTCTGTATGAACGTTACTTGAACATAGATACACCTATTTGTGTGTGCGCAACCAATTTTTACAGTATCTGATTTTTAGGGTAACAAATCTAATGTATACTCTCCAATATATGACAAAATGTGCCTTCACACCCAGAACTGTATTTAATATTTTTTTAAATAATGTGTCTTTTATAGTTACAGAATCTAAAACCGTTTTAATGTTAACATTAATGTTATGTATTTTGAAAGGGGAGAAAGATTAAAACTATTTGTAAAGGAAGAAGAATTTGCAATATTAAATACGTTTTTCAAACTACCACCAAGACGTTTGTATACTTGGGTCTCTTCACAAGGTGAACCAGGAAACATAATAAGGAATCAAATTAATTACATAATAGTGAACAAGAGATTTCGTAATGGATGCCTATCATTACCCCGGTGCTGACGTATCGTCAGATCATATTCCTGTTATTGGTAAATTTAGGTTTAAATTTAAAAAGGTTACAAAAAAGAATAGTAACAAAAAATGTGATATGAGAAGACTAAAAGATATGGAAAGAAAATAGAGAGTTGCACGGATCCTTTCAGAAAAGCTAAATAACATGGAGCAAACATATGATCCAGAAGAATCACTCCACAATATATGTGAAACCCTTAACAAGATCAGAGAATATCTAATAGATAATAAAGAGAAGAGGAAAAGTTGTATGAATGATAATATACTGCAACTTATGGAAGAAAAAAGAAAATCAAAGAATAGCAAAAAAATGTACAAAAATATTCAAAGACAAAAAATAAGAAACGAAATACGAAAGGCCAAAGAAAATTGGTTAAAAACACAGTGTGAAGAGATAGAGTTGTTGGAACAAAAACTCGATACATTTAATATGCATAAGAAGGTAAAACAAGCAGCTGGTCTTCAAAAATCCAACACAGCTAGCAAACTACAAGATCAACAGGGTAACATCATCACAGATAAAAATCAAGAAATATGCATATGGGCCAAATACATACAAGAATTCTTTGATGATAATAGGTAGAATAATTTTTAATAATTTTAAACTGTTTGTCCTTGTTTTAATGTAGTGTTATGTACAATTTATGTCTAATTTCATGTTTATTACATTCTGCGCTTGCTGGATAGCCCAAATTTGACGAAATGCACCTGATGATGCTGTAGAAAGCGAAAGTACTTGGGCAAGATTTGATTATTAAATTTGTGCTCGATATTTGCCTTAATTTTTCAAAGTTCATTTATTCGATCATTCAACCTTATATCAATTATAAAGAAATGGCCAACAGTTTAAAATTACAATTATTCTAAAAAAGTTTCAGAGAAACATGTTAAGCTAACTATAATTAAAACAGTGTTGTGTTCTATTTTGTAAGTAGAATTATTGAACAATAAATTCCATTAATGAACAGCCAATCCCATAGTTTAAAAAATCCCATTTCACTTTTTTATTACATAATCTTATATTAATTTTTGCAAATTGTGTAATTTCGTAAATTCAAACGTCACAATTTTGACATTTGACATTTAACAGACGTATAACTTTTCAAAGTGGCATAACATGTCATTTTTAAATCAATGGTTTCAATTATGTATTTTAACTACCATAAAAAAAATCAAAGACTGAAACCAGTATGATTGTTTAAAATATGTACCTATTTAATCCACTAATGCCAAACATATTTTCATCAGAATATACTTGGAGCCCAAAATAACACTAAAGTTTAAGAGGGATATAAAAAATACTTATTTAAATTTAAAGAATCGGTTTTTTACGAATTTAACAAAACATTTGATCGTATGAAAGGTTGAACGAGACCAAGACAATAGGTGACATATATATGTCAAAGCAAAATATATATTATAAAAGGGGTGTTTAGAAAAGTCACTGATGGAGTGAATTCTCACGATTGCGAATAAGTTAAGCCAACTGATGAATATAAACAGGTATACACTTATAGGTAAAATAAACACAGTTATTTAAGGTGAAGATATGTGTCAAATGAAAGCCCTCAATTATTAGTGGATCATTTTAGGAATAATCCAATTTTTCTATTCAACTGGAGATAATGAAAGAAACTACTAAGATTACTAACCTAAAAAAATTATATAAGGCGTATATATTTACATTCATTTACTGTTTATTTCCAATTTCATAATAAGCATTATTTTAGCTAAAATCGTAGCCAACTTGGCAACCATTGTTATTTAAGTTTTTAAGTTGTTGAGGTAACTTATTTTCTTATTTGCTAGTTAAAATATCATTCGAAATAATCACGGTTGCTTTTAATAGCTAAAATTTTGGTTGAGTTTACCGAAAGTACAAGCTGATTATAGCCGCAAATGTCAAACATGGAACAAAAAATTTCGGTTTAGCAGTCTTGGCATGTTTTTATAATGTATATGCTGTATGCTTCAAATATAAAGAGATAAAGCTTTAGAAAAGTACATTTTGTTTATATTATGTTATGAATTGTTCAATGTTTTATTTATATAAAACAAGAATGAGTAAACATTTGTTTCCTTGGAGTTTAATTGCAGTTAATAATTAGAAATTTTTTTGCTAATTGCTCTGTGATATATTAGGGGATAGATTTGGCGCAGTGAAATCATCAGTTGCCAGATGTTTGCAATTAATCTCGAAAGAGACAAATATTTATTCTTTATTGTTGTATATAAATTAAAAATTGCAGTAAAATAGTATCATCAAAATGTACATTTTAAAAGCTTTCTCTCTTTATATTTGAAGCATACAACATATTATGTATTATAAAAACATCCCAACACTTCCAAACAGAAATATTTTATTTCATGGTTGACTTTTGCGGCTATATTCAGCTTGTACTTTCGGTAAACTCGACCAAAATTTTTAATGCTTTAACAATTATTTTCATTATAAGCAAGTGAATTATTTCAAATGTTTTTCTATCAAAAATTGAAGGGAGATATTTAGCCCGTTTCAAAAGTAACAATCGAATTTCTTAAAAAAAAGCTAGCGTTAGCTAATGTTTTTAAAAAAATTCCTGTATTATGGAATTATTAAATAGCAAATGAATGTAAATGTATATGCAATTATATATTATATTTTTTTTAGGTTAGTGACTTAAGTTTTTTGTTTTTCGATTATATCGAGAACCTTTCACTGCCAAAATTGGACAATAAGCCAAAAATTATTCGCTAATTGAGGACTTTCTTTGGACACATACCTTGACATTGCGTGGCGATTATATTTATTTTATTACACGTTGGCCTATCTTGCTGTATTACCCAATAGCTGACTGAATAAAGCCCATCGCAGTTTCAACATACATTGTAAAAAGCGTAGATATAAGCAGATATTTTTTTGCAAAATTTCAATCTAACTATCATAGAAAGTGAATGTATGTTATACTGCAAATAAAGGGGACATTGCTTATTAAAATAAATAGAATTCTTGGTGTTTCTGTTTTTCTTTTATTGGTTGAATGTACACCTCTAGTGTTGAGAAAAATGCTTGAATTGAAAGTGAATTTACATTAGTAACTAATGATAAAATTTAGTTCTTGGCCATTAGTGGATTGTCATACATTCTGTTAAATAACTTGATTATTGCAACCAAAATTATTACGCATAAAAGCTTCCTCTCAAAATGATCTGTTTTTAGTTTAAAATACGCTTGAATAAGAAACTAAAAACATAATATCAAAAAGTCTACCTATTTTTTTTTATAAAAATGAATCCCTATTGAATAAATATTCTTAACATTACAATTTCAGTAGTATCTCTAAGACCCAAAAAACCAGGACAATCTTAAATAAGTATCATTTTTCCTGGTCATATTTCAATAAGCTCTATAGCTCGCAAATATATTCTACTCATACCATTTCTTAATCGAGTATCAGCCGAATCTCTCCTTGACGAGAAACATTAGTTTTTTCTTTCCTTTGTACGCTACTTTCATATTTTCTATAAGTTGCGTGAATTGCGCATGTCCGTCGTGAGCTAACACGAACGTGTCCCGAGCTTTGGTTAAGAAGTCTATGAAGTCTCCGTAGTGACGAGGAGAGATATGAGTCAATCTGAAATAATGAAAAAAAAAATTAAAGTTTATAAATTTGCAGACTTCTCCAACTTTTATAGCACTACAATTTTTCTATTGTCAACTTTAACATATTCGGCACTAAATGTTAAAGACAAAACTATTTGTGATACCTAAAACTTTCAACGGCTTGCTAGTATACAAGAATTTACGTTCCGTACCAATAATATTTAGCATTTGTTAAAAAGTACTCTCATGTCGCTGTCTTGTCACTGAATGTTAGTATTTAGCAGATTTGCTATTATAACCATGCCAGCAAACCATGTTAAACAAAGAGGACTCAGTGAATAACCCTGTCTTATCCTATTATCAGTTTCAATTGGGTCAGTTAGTTCTCCTTTTACTTTTACTTTTATTGTGTTGTTCTGGTAGATATTCCTGATCTTTTTAATCATTCCTAGATATATCTTTCTTGCGTAAATAAAGCGGATCACGTACTTTAATGTCAAATACCTACTTAATGTCCACAAATCATAGATATACCAGTTTGTTGTACACTACTGATTTCTCTTGTACTTGCTATATGTATATTAATTGTTACAATTAACTCTAAAATAGTGACTGCATAACATTTACATCAGCAATTAGAGACAATTTATGTTTAATAAAAATAAAATCGATTTAAACTTACCTAGAATGCGTAGTATTGATATAAGCAGCTACAGCAGCTTCCAGGAGCTGCCTCAACGGAGGTCTGTCATACGAAAGAGGCTTTATACCCCCACCGCTACATCCTCTTCCGGCCCTATGTGGGTGGGGGTGTTTTCCGCCATCCAATGGAGCAGGATGAGGACAACTGATACCAGGAGCAGTCATGCTGCATCTTCGTAAGATATCTGAGAGGACTGTAGCACATTGAACGTTCTTCACCAAAAGAGGGATCATATTTGACAGTTCAGTCTTGCCCAATGAGTGACTTAGTGCGCATGCCCAGTGGATATCGTTTATAGCAGGATGGGTATCCTAAAAATCAAAAATTAAAACGTTATTTGTAATTAAACGTGAACTAAAATCTAAAAATATTCTAGTAAATAGTACATAACAAAGAATTCTAGACCATTCGAACTGTTTTCTGCGAATTTTATTTGTAAATTGCCTGTTAATATTTATATTCTTATAAAAACATGCTCTGAATATTATGTAAAACAAAATCGAATATCAGACGCAATCTTGTCAAACACTGCTTGTAATTTTTTACATATAGAGTAGTTTTCCATTAGAACTGAAGCAACTTTAGTGATAAAACACTTTTATAGGCTTTTTTGATTTATAATATCTGCCAAAATCATACATTTTAATAATATAACCTAAAATCAGTACGTACCTGATTGTAAGCTAGATGGACGTTTTTCATAGCCAACATAGCAAGTTTATAGGCCCTAGTGGGATATCCACGATGCTCCATATATCTTGCGATGGTGAACAGCTGGGAAGACGTCATTATGTGGGAAGCAGCATCCACAACAATTTGATAAGCGGTTTCAAAGGCTAGAGCCTCGTTTTCGCACAAGGTCAAAGCATTCAAGGCACAATTTGGAGGGTCCTGAAAATATAATTGTATATAATATAAATTAAATTTTCATGTTAACGGATGTCCACTTCTTCAATTACCGAAACTGTGTATAAGACTGATCAAAAGTAGTACAAGAAGCTCAAGACAACCTGTACACAAAAACTTGTCAATCAGAGAAAAATCTATTCTATTCACTTGATATAAATCTATTTGAAATCGCCAGAAATCGAACTTTTAATAAATCTAAAACACAATACTAACCTTTGTTGCACACTGCAATGCCAGTGTGCGCGCGCAACTCGACAACTCTTCCTGTTGTCCGAAATTTAGATTTAGTCGCATAATGGTACTGTGTGACATAATAGTAGTGGCTACGGGTCCTGTCGCTTCTGTGGCGGTAAAGAACTGATACCAGTTTTGCATGATGGAGATCAAAGCGTCCACGCCTACTTCTGTCGCACAAGTAACTAACCACCTAACCATTTCTCGTCTTCGCCAGTTCAGAGATGATAACGTCATTCTCATTACCTGAAAAATATTACGAGGTTTTTAATTGTACTTCTAAAAATAGTTGGTAATATAGTTGATAGATGCTTATTTAAAATAATACACAGAAAAATAATTTTTGATTTTAAAAGCATAATTAATCTATTACATTTAAACCAATGTACATGAGATTTGAACCAGTTAACTGTTAATTTGTAAGTAAATCAAAAGATTTGTTAGGTTAGATTTGTCCAAGCAGCCTTGTCAGTAATTGATCGAAGGGTGTTAGATTAGGATGCAATTTATTCCCGCTCATATCTAATCTGTACTCCTAAAAAATCTCAAACAGACATTACAGCACAGAGTAAGAGTACTTTAAGTAGATGATATAAAAATCTGAAATCGATGATAAGAAGAACAACTTGTTTTATGTTTATGCATTATTCTCCATTCAAATTAGTGGTGTCGGAAATACCTTTTTTGATTGATTATCGTAGATGTTTTAAAAAGAATTATCACATTTTTAATTTATATGTCTTGGCTAAATATACTATTGAATAACAATTTGTGAAACGTGACTGCAAAAAACATCATGGTGTTTATTTATAATAAATTTAAAATAACAAAAATATTATTATCAAAAAAAAAATACAATTTGTTGTCACAAACACAATAAACAATTTCGCAGTTATAGCTTGAAAATGATTTCAATCGACTAATGACGTAGTTCATGTTGGTAGAGGCGTAAGAGAATTAAGTAAGAGTAACACGTTTCACTATTAGATTTCAGTATTTTTTAGCAATTTTCTTCAGTTTGAAAACGCTTTTCTCGGATTATTACTGGACACAGAAATGTGAAAAAAAATCAATGATTACAGAAAAAAAACTCTTTCAAGTGATGGGCGTAAAAGGTTTGGTTATAATAGAACATTAAACTGCATAATCCGATATTTCAAAAGAACTTTCAAAAAAATTTAAAAAGTAAAACCATCAGTTTAGAGGCAACATAATTTTGAATAACGTGTCCAAATTTCGAGACATTTTGTCGGTAAATAACAGATAAAACACTGTCTCTAGGTTTTGGTGTACCGATAAAACAGCCTTAAAATGTATAATATATGTCCGAGTGATGGATTAGACCGTTACTTGAACTACAGACTGCTTTTTTCAATTAATCTATTTTCGCTATACGTTTACATTTTATAGTTTTTAACTGAATAAGTTGAGGAGGGGAGAACTGTTTGTCTCAAGCTGGTCATTCAGAATTATGTCTATATTTTTTATTTTGTTAATTTCCATAAATTCTAATAAAGATAGCCTTTATTTTGAATATGAAGAATTTGAAATTCGTCATTAAAAGAATGATTATGGTCTAGAAAGTGAAGTGCATGCGTAAAATCTGTTTTTGTATTATTGAAAGCCCGTTTATGTTCTGCTATCCGTTTGTTAAAAGTTCTACTAGTTTGATAGATGTAAGTTTTTGGGCAGTCGCCACATTTAAGTTGTATACGACACCGTGTAAGCGCCTTTTGGCTCTTGTTCTTAATATATTTGCCTAAGTTTCTTCGGAAAGCAATTGCCCATATGGCTAATGGATGATTATCCATATATGGGAAAAGCACTCTGCCGAAACAGCTGTAGTGATAATAATTTAGTGTAGTGATAATAATTTATAATAAATTTTGTGGAAGTGTTGAAAACGAAAGTTTTCAATGTTTTATTGTTAGATATATGTCTGAATTGTCAAAATAATTATTTGTTTAGTTTGTATTTTGAGAACGATTACCGATCTGGAAATAAAAATGTCAAAATAAATGTATTTTAAATTAAAATTGTAGTTCATTCCATTAAAGATAATAAGTAATATTAAATTGACAGCTAAATAATCATCGCATCATTTGGTTTAATTATCGAACCTGCTTTAGTTAATATAATATATCGACAGTTAAGTGAGAACATCGTAACAAAAAATCAAGTAGGAAAGTTACTGTGAACTTTTATTTACCCTTCCTTAACATAGACAAAATCGCAATCCCTGAAAATATGATACCAAGTATCTAACACTCTGAGGTTTTCAAAATAGTATGGAAGAAGACATTTCATCCATAAAAATCTTCAATTATAAAAAAAAAACTTAAAGAATTATTACCTGTAATCCTAGTTCAAAAGCCACGCTTAGCAACGTTGGGTGTCTGGGTCCGTTTTCTGGTGTGGCGAAACGAAAGGCATCTTGCGCTAACTTAAATAGATGGGAAGAACTGTGGATATGTCTCTGGGACGATTCAAGAACTGTTCTCAATCTCATCACTTCACCTTAAAAAGATAAATAATTATTAATTAATATATAATTCATAATTATAAATAATAATTATATATAATCTACTAAGATATTATTTTTTTGCTTTAAAAATCAAGTAATACAACTTATATCATTAATTCATTAATGAAGTAAGTTTCAATCAAAACAAGCCCGTTGATTAGGTCAATCTAAGTAAAATCGGCTTCATTTTCTTTACACAGAATCGCTTAATATGTAGCTTTTTTTGATAAGGAATATGAAATTGGGTATATTATTGCTTTTAATTACTGAAAGCTATAGTCAAAAATCAATGAATAAAAAATGGTGACTAAATAACTTTAATATTGCTAATATCGCCATTAAGTTTCTGAAGTAACTAAAAAATTCATTGCAAAACATTTGTATTGAATAAGCAGCTTCATTGAAATGGAAGCGGACTGGACACAGACCATCCTCGAACTCCTCGAAGATGGTAGATGGTACAGAGAAATAGGTAGTTGGAGGCCTTATGGGGCGTAGACATTACGAGAAAGTCTCAATATGGAAAGGATTTGGGAGAGGGCTATATTCCAACTATCGAACAGAAAAAAGGTATTTAAAAACGCAATGCATAATTCTGCTCAGAACATGAGTCCTTTTAATTATTTCTCTGACTATAAAAAAGTTACACGCTACTATTGAACTGCATCCGTCACTAGTTGCAGACCCCTGCATTCGTCACTCGTTGCAGACCCTCTGCAGTCTATGCTTTTGAAAATATGACCTGACAATCCTATTTCGAGTTGAGTATGGAAATTCATTGATTTTTGTGTTGGTATATCCATTGGTATGCAATCTGAACTCGGAGCACATTTTTGAAGAGGATCTAAAAGATATTGATGAAAGCATCTCAATAAATGGAGTCAAGCTCAATAACCTGCGGTATGCAGATGATACAGTAGTGTTTTCCAATACCATAGAAGGGCTGCATAACTTAATGAACAAAATAACGAAAATAATCAGAACATATGGACTGGATATAAACACCAGCAAAACCAAGCTAATGATCATCGGCAAGTAAAACATAACTGGAGAAAATCTGTGTATGAACCAAATGAGAATTGAACGTGTCTCAGAGTACAAAATACTTGGAAACTATAATCAATGAGTCGAGGGACAATACCAAGAGATTAAATGTCGCATCGGAAAGGCAAAAACTGCATTCTTGACTATGAGCTGTGTGTTCAAGAGTCATGACTTCACCCTAGAAACAAAAATAAGGCTCCTTAAATGTTACGTGTACTCAATGCTTCTGTACGGAGTAGAAACGTGGTCATTGAAGGCGGAAACTCTATCAAAACTTCAGGCTTTTGAAGGATCCTGAAGATAGCATGGACAGACAAAGTCACCAATGAAGAAGTACTACCAAGGATGAACACAACAGCGGATTTGGTCAACATCGTAAAGATCCGTAAGCTGCAGTACTTGGGACATATAATGAGAAATTAAGGCAGATATGAGCTACTCCAATGCATTTTGGAAGGTGAAATTGAAGGAAAAAAGGGCCCAGGACGAAGAGGAATATCCTGACTTGCTCACCTGAGAGTATGATATAGAAAGAACTCTACACTCTATTCCGTATAGCAACCAACAAAGTCATCATAGCCAGAATGACCGCCAACATTCGGAACGGACAGGCACCCTAAGAAGATCTGAAACAGATACTTACCTTTTGCTGCACTCAGCATAGTCGAACTCAGTGCGCACTGCTGGGTCTCGATGTGTCCCAAAGTGAACCATCTAGGCGATCTACTCATCATCAAAGAGCTGCTGGCATTTCCACCTAAAGGGTCATCAGAGTCTTCATGTTCTTCCAAAAGAGGTAAACGCATGGCTCTTAATCCAACTTCGTAGGCCAAATCTGGGTAGTAATTCAGAAGAGATAGGAAAAGAAATCTGGCGAAGGTGTGCATAGGGATACTCTCCGGATGGATGCCGATGCCCAAACCACTGGTGGGACCTCCTTCCAGTAGAATTATAGCTTGACGACGGAGAACTGCAACTAGGCTGTTATCCAATTCAATTTCTTGGAGTTTTGCAATTAATCGATCTTCTTGTTTGCACGCTTTCTCCTATAAGGAAAAAATACGATTAATGTTAAAACTAACTAAAGAACGAAAATAAAAGTAGTTCATCAAATTCAGTAAATGAATTCAACATAAAATTAAAATAATAATATTCATATATTAATAAGATCTATGCAAAAAACTACAATATGTTTACAAGAAATATATCATTTTAGTATAATCAAGGAAAGTTCTAGAAACAATAAATTTTGCCGAAAAATAAGATGCTGTTATTTTGAAACTGCCAATGATGTTTGGAAAAGCCGGAATAAGATCTTCAAATGATTTATCCTGTCGTGGATCGACAATTACTTTGGTAAATTATTCTTCGTCTTCAGCTGTAATTGAAAAGATCCGATCCGTTACATCTTGTCCAAATTTCTTTATTTTATTAAATTTTTAAACACCCGTATATGATTTTAACTTCTTTCTCATGAAATAATTTTAGGGCGAAATACTTCATAATAAAACCCTCAATAAAACCATTTTAAAAATTAACCGCTGTTTGAACCTTATTGTTCTCTTGTGTGATTGTCAACCTAAACGCTGTTTTTGACTTAAGTTTTCGGTAGTTCTTTTGTTTGTAAATATAAAAGATAATCCCAAAGGAAGCGTTGAAAGATGGTTCCGTTAGATGAAGTTCATTTCCGACCACCCTAATAGTTCCGTCTAACTTTGACCACACACAAAGTAACAGTATCCCCTTTTGAATATTTTTTCTACAAAAATATTTTAAATTCATTTTCACTGATCAAGTATATAGCCAAGTTAGATACTGTTTGAGAATCAAGTGCGATATTGTGATATGTTTTGAGAACCCTGTCATTGGTAAGCTATTTTTCATACCTTCCATATTTCTTTATATTTTTATCTTATTATAAAATATATTATTTCTATAAGAATTTGTAAATCTTGTATATTTTCTGCCATGATTGCGGTATCGTCTGCAAATCATATTATTAATGATGTTCCTTCCAATCTTTACACCTTCAGTCCTTTAGTGTCTCCTGAAATATTAGTGGGGAGGACACATTTAATAATTGTGGCGACAGCACACATTCCTGTCTGACTCCCCTTTGAATTTCTGCTTGGTTTGCCTCACTATCTTCCACCCTTATGACCGCTGTTTGTAGTATGGATTTTTGATTAAATTAATATACTAGAGATCTAGGTGTATGTGTTTCAATGTATGTATGAGTTTACCATGAGTTTTGTGGTATATTTGATAGATATTTGACTATTTTACTTGATTCCTTTATCTGATATATGTTATTTGGTTTTTCTGCAATATGTGTGATATTTGATATATTTGAATATATTTTGGTTTAGTGAATCTTACCATGTTTTATTTAAAGATAATTACATTTTCTATTCGATTTGTGAACATCACATTTCTGTTTTATTTTAACTTCCGAACAATTCCTTTCACTATGTTGCACACCCCTCAGACGCCAATACGTATGTAACTGTAGATGCGAGTCCCTTTCTACTTTATTGATCTCGAGAATAATAATACTACTCTACTTGTGATTCTACTTACTTGTGCATACAGTCCTACAGGCATTATCCGTTGCTGCCCCAAACCAATAAGCGCTACCTCAAACGCCAAAGTTAGATATGTTTCTGATCTGTCTCTCGAACCAACTACAGGTACATGATGGTATCTAGGCCTTAAATTGCTGTGTTGATCTTCCATACCGACTAAATCTAAAAAAAATTAAAACATTAAATTAGAATAAACTTATAAGAAATCGTGCAAATTAAATACAAAAAATGTTCACATTTGGGACAATCCATTTAAGCCAAATACACAGAAAATTAGTCTGTCTTAAGAAGCATAATCATCATCATTCCGGGTCTACAACCCTGTGTGAGTCATAGCTTCCTCAAGTATTTCTCTCCAGTCGTCCCTATCCATCGCCAGATTCCGCCAAGCACGTATTCAAATATTTCTCACGTCTTCATCGATGTTAACAAGGAATCTTGTTCTGGGTCTTCCTCTTCTTCTCTGACCAATTGGTCTATCAGGGAGAGTATTTTCTTAGTGGGTCATTTTTCTTTTCATCCACCTTCATTCACTACCCACCTCAGACGTCATATCTTAATACTAACCTAATGAAATACTGACGGTAAAACTGATGTCAAATGATCATACAATTGTCATTCCCCACGTTGGACGCCAAAATTTAACCCACAATTAACGTTTCTACTTTTCTACGTTTATTCTAATTTCTAGGCACACAAAACAGTATCAAAACTGGAAATGAACTCAAAACGCATATCAAGAAATACAAGAAATGCTTAACCACACCAAATCAGTGGTAGTTAATTAATAACAGTATTTTTTTAATTAATAATACAACGAAATAAAATAAAGTCTTGTATTTTGTTTATATACTTTTTGAATTGTTTAATTTATTATAATTTGCTACTGTAGCTAATAGTTTTGTACACATCTTAACAAAATGTACGAAAATGGAATATTAAAAGTCAATATTTCTAAAATTGTCAATGTGTAAAAACAATGTTTTCCAAAACATTCCTTCATAATCTGTAACCTCACTGCTGAGTCTTTATTAGGTATTTTTAATTGTGACTTAACAAAGAATCCAGGATAACTACTTGATTGATTCTTCTTCTATGAGTATCGTGCCTAAGTTTTAGGCGTTGGTAGCTTCCATGGCGATTTGCCAATATCGTTCTCGATCTTGCGCGGCATGTAATAATTCATCTGCTGATAAGCCAGTCCATGAGAGTTTCGGAGCCATGTATTCTTTCTACCAATTCCTCTTCTTCCGTCGATCTTTCCGTTGAGTATCAACTGCATTATACTGTATCTGCTTCCTCTCATTATATGCCCCAGATATTCGAGTTTTCTCTTTTTTATCATCTTTATTAAGTCACCTTCACCTTGACCTACTCTGTTCAAGACATCTCTGTTTGAAATGTGTTGAACCCATGATATTCTGAGCATTCTACGATATAACCACATCTCGAAGGCTTCTAATTTGTTTATCATGTTAACCTTCATAATCCAGGTTTCACATCCATACAGTAATACAGGATACACATAACATTTTAGGAACTTAATTCTCAGCTGTAAGTTCAGCTGAGAATTGCTCAGAATAGATCTAAGTTTCATAAATGCTCCTCTTGCAATTTCTATACGAGTTTTAATTTATTCATCCGGATTTAGTGTCTCGTTTATCCAACATCCTAGATATTTAAAATGGTTAACTTTTGTTATCGGTTCATTATTGACAATTGGTTGTATAGCACCGAGGTCTAGGTCAAGGAATTGAAGATCTTCGATACTTTCAGCCATGATTGCGGTGTCATCTGCATATCTGATGTTATTAATAGTTTCTCCCCCGATTCGAACTCCACATTGCCCTTCCAAGTCTTTGTTAAAATTATTTCTGAGTAAACGTTAAACAAAGTTGGGGACAACACACAACCCTGTCTAACACCTCTTTGAATACAAATTTTGTCTGTTTCTTTGCCGTCTACCAGAATAGAAGCTTCTTGATTCCAATATAGATGTTGCAAAAGTCTCAATTCATTACAAGTATAAATAGGTTATGGCAATTCTTTTTATCCCTCAATTTGCCCAAGAAATGTTTTTGCTATCTCTCGATATACTGTACAATTATTTGTTTTTGACAATATTCCGGGAGACTCTCATACTATTTTTCCTTCCATTGATATCGATTTATTAATGTTACCATTTTTCTTAATGTTTATATGTCGTAGTCTTTGTTATCATTACAAACTCCTTACATCTTTCACATTAAAACTTTCCCACCATATATCTTCCAGTTTTGCTGACCATGCACCTTAAAAGTATTCACCTCAGCAATTATTAGCACGATTATATGTTATTGTCCTTCCTTAATTAAATCTAAATAATTATTAAAACCATTTCTGATGAGAAAAAACATACCTAAATAGCTAGTTGGTGTCCTAGGTCTTTCGTGTTCAGGAACAACTGACGCATCTGCCAAGGTATCAAAAAGACATCCCACGGGATCTAATGGATGACCAACCCATCCATCTAGATTCGTAGGGGCATTGATAGATGTAGTCGAACAAGATGTAATCGTACACTGGCCTTGACATCGGGAGGTACAAGCTGTGACCTAAAATAACAATACATACAACATTAATATTAAACGTATTAAATAATATTTCTTCACTAAATAAAGATTATTTTATAGATTGTAGATTTTATTCAATATTTTAGTCAATGGCTATTAATTTCCCTTATTTGTACTATTCCACCACGTCTGTCTTAATTTTCTGCGATTGAATATAATAAACCTCAATTCCTACTTACCTTACAGCTTGGCTGAGTTTTAATACTGGTACTAGCGCTACTGTTCTGTTGACTTTCGTGCCATTTTCGCTGTGCCACCAATTGCTGTTGTTTCATAGTGCGTACGACAGAAACTGCCAAACGTAACGCTGCTTCCATATGTCCATGGGAACGGAGAGAATCCACACGAGCCGCACACAGAGGAATAGATTCTGAAAAAGATATAAACGTATTACATTTCAATCTGGAAATTTTATTAACAACAGACATTGTGAAGCAACATGGTTAATTTCACCAGACAAATCTTCGGTTGATTTTAGACGTGAAAATAAGTCATTTTGATATTTGTTACTCAAACAAATAATTTGTAACAACACAATATTTTCTCTTTCTAGAACATTCAACAAATTTACACGAATTTATAACTAAATTATGACTGCATATATATCTAGGTAGTTCATGATATTCATTTTTAAATGCAAATCTTTTCTTTATATCTACAACCATGTAGTTCGAAAAAGAGTTCATCAGTCTAAAACCAACTTGGCCCTTCCAAGTCATCAAACCCATCTTATTTAGATCTAATTCTATATAATTTCTATGGCCTCTATCCCTTAAAGATTTTGATCAAAGGCTTCGATCCGCCTCATATACCTTTCGATATTGAGACCTTAAGGACATGCGTCAAAAGTTTGAGGCTTCACTATATTTAAAGGACGCCAAGTGCGTGGTAGGTTACAGAAACTGGTGACCAAAACGTCCAGCTCATAACGTCTATTATCCACCGAGAATTGGAGGTTACACTTAAATAATTTATGGAGTTATATTTCTTTGTTCCACCAATTATCTCGTACAATGTGATTTCCTGCGCACTGCTTTTTGCATTCCGCTACTTATCCCCTATATCTTTCGTTTTTATAATATTTAGATTCCATTTAATCTTTTTTTCGTCTTTCATATTTATTTACAGCATGTAACTGTATACTCTGAAGATCTAATTGACTTTCCGGTCCATAATAATCTTGCCCTTCTTTTAATTTTCTTTGCGTCTGGAGCTAGTATTATCAAAGACTTCAAGTCACATCAGAACCATTAAAAATCATAGAAAATGTATGCGTTCTTCACTTAAATCAAATATATCTCTCCGCCGTTACATTTTCAAAGAAGAAGTAAATTATATAACTCTAAACAACTTACCGTGCCACAAGGGCTGTCCTTGTGAGTTAAAGCTACCGGAACTGGAAGTATCAGGAACATGAGAGCAATAGGTATCACTGGATAATATATTTTTGAGGTGCATATTGTCCCAAGACATCCCAACAGCATCCAATGCTCTATGAAAAATAGATCTAGGCAAAGTGGGCGTCTGAGATTTTGAGTTGCCAGCTAGACGTAAACGTTTTCCGTTTCTGAAACAAAAATATTAATATTTTAAAAACATTTTTACCAATTTTTAACCACGAATTATTACTTTTTTTCTTGTAATAACAAACATATTATACACCTGGATTTTAAAACGAAGATGTAACATTTACAGTGGCTCAACAATTATTATCAGACAATAAATGCTTGGGACAAATCACAGAACTAAGTAATGTGACTGAGAACTACTGAATCTTCTGCACCAGAAAAGAAAGAAAGAAAAGTTTAAAACAAGAGGTTACATGCGTCTTGTTCATTCAAAAAATAGATTTATTTTTTGATTCCATATGAAAGGATAGTACTTCTAGTCTAGAGTATTCACATCAAATTTTAAGTAAATTACAGCAATATTAGGGTCTCAGACAAGGATGTTGTATCTCTCCGACTCTATTTAAGATTTATATATCTGCAGCTCTGAAACAATGGAAAAGGAAAGTCAAAGGAATGGGTATACAATTGAACGATCGGGATTACATATATACTTTACAGTTTGCAGATGATTAGGTGGTGATCTCAAATGACAAAGATGACATGGAATACATGCTTAGAAAACTAATTGAAGAATACCAGGAATGGGGATTAAATATCAATTTAGAAAAGACAAATTACCTCTCAATTGGAGCTGAAGCAGAACAACTCGATATCGATAACAATCAAAAAATAAATCCATGCAACGAATATAAATACCTGGGCGTCATCTTCGACCGTAGTGGAAAAGACGAACGAGAAATAGAACATCGAATTGTACAAGCACGAAGAGCTATAGCATGTTTGAACGGAGTTCTATGGAGTAAAGAAATATCAAAGAAAAGAAAATGGAACATCTATGAGACAATGGTTAAAACTAGCCTACTTTATGGAGCTGAGACATGGAGAATAACCGAGAAATATAAGAAAAAGTCGAAGCCACGGAAATGGATGCCATCAGAAGATCAATGAGAATATCAAGAGCCGACAGAATACGGAATGAAGTGATAAAACAACAAATGGGTATAGAGGGCACTATAGTTGAGGATATTGAAAGAAAACAACTCATATGGTATGGGCATGTGAGCCGACTGGGGGACGAAAGATTGCCTAAAAAAACGATGATGTGGCAACCCCCAGAGAAGAGGAAACGAGGAAGACCACCACAGAGCTGGAACCTGGAAGTTAGGAAAGCGATTAGCGCTCGAAATCTGAACGAAGACGTAACTCAAGACAGAATACAGTGGCGTTTGGGAGTCGTACAACGTCGTATGACGTTATAAAACCGAATAATATATATATATATATATATATATATATATATATATATATTTATATATAAATATATATATATATATATATTTATAAGAAATACTGGATATTAGTGACTGTCGATATAAACAAACAACACAGTTTATTAGGGTTGCAGTCAGAATATTGGCTGGGATGTTAAAAAAAACACTCTTTTGACTTTTTGTCGAGCTTTCGGAATGGTTTTATTCCTTTTTCAAGACACTGTAAAAGACAATTATGTCAATATTTAAAAAATATCACAATTCTTCAGTGTAACTTACTAGTCGTTGAGATTATTTTTGTAAGCCTAGACACTCAACATTTATATCACACATTAAAATATACAATTATGGACATAATACATCATAAAATTTTTAAAATTTGTTGTAAAAATAGTAAAACTTGATTGATGGCATGTTTTACTGGTGTATATTAACTCATACAGAGAATGGAAAGAAAAACAGTGTAATTAATATGTAATTAGGTGTAATTGATGTTATCTTTCTTTACAAGAAATACTAGAGGCCCTTCTTAGGTGACTATACTTTTAAACCTGTCTTAATGGTATGCAACATATTATACAGAGGTGTAATTTTTGTACAGGTAAATATTTATTTTATTTTTGGTGTTTTTCTAGTAAATAACAATAAATGTTACTTAATTTGTCTATGTCGGACTTTTTGTTGATGCAAGATGTGCTAGATTTATGAAACACATTTCCAAAAAAAACACGTTTTGAATGGTCTTTCTTTGCAAAATACATACAAACATACATACAAAGGTATATATAATATATATATATATATATAAATATATATATCATAATATATATATATATATATATATAATATATATACAGCAATTACCGGAGCTATAGAGATTTGAATACCATCCGGTCGGTGCACTCTCAGTTTAAAAACTTCAAACGTGTTTTTCCCAAAACTTTCGTTTTTCTCTGCGGATTTCTCGAAGACGAATAGACCGATTTTCCTATAGTACTATAAAAGTTAACTGGCAAAGTTTAAGCAAAATCGGTCCTTCCCTTCGGGAATCGTTCGTAAATTGCAGATATTCAGCTTGTATTTGAAAATAATTTGTTGTACACAAACGTTTTCTACAACAGAATTCAGAATTTACAGAATACTAAAATTTAAAAGAATCAGAATCAAAAGAATGTCAATAACAAAATAAATACCTGTGAGTATATGAATTAGCATCTTCTTCATCGTCGTCTTCCGAACTATCTGAAGAATCATATATTGCACGATTTCTATCTCTTTCTCTCTCTCGGTCACGATCTCTCCTTTCTCGCCTATCTCTTTCTCTATCCGCATATCTATCTCGATCTCTATATCTCTCGTCATATCTGTCACGATCACGATCTCTCGTGGAATACTGAAATAAATAAAACATATATATTATAAGAAAAATGCAGACATACATAGTATTGTTGACTTATTTGTATTTTTCTTTCTAAATGCTATAGAGCAAGTCAAGTAACTTACGGATTCTCTAGATCCTTGCTGCTGCAACCTGAAATCGGGATCTTCAGGTGGACAAACGTCGATTACTGCCCATTTCTCTAATAGTTGCTTCCAATGTTGTTTTTCTTGAAACGTGCAATTTGGATTCAGTACAATGCACACCCATAAAGAGCCTAATTGATCCCACAGCTGCCTACACTTATCAGTCATTGGTGTGCCTTGGTTGCGCCACATCTGCAGTCTAGGATCGGAAAGAAACTGCTCCGTGATGAGGGTCAACATTCTGGCACCGTTTGAATCCTGGGCTCTTAGCATTTCTCTCACCTATAAAGTACATACTTTTATTTTATAATTAACAACAAAACATTTTAAAAATGAAACAAATAAAGTATGCAGACAATGCAAATAAGTTAACTGAAAACCATGAAATAATCAAGAAGTGCACATAAAAATTCATAATACATCAAACAATCTGATTGGCGAATAGTGGGATCGAAATAAGCGATTGAGCTCCTCAGATTGATAGTGGGCCCCTCTTAGAGGGAAGCAACGATATCATTTGACCCAAGAGTGAAGAAGTACGAGCAAATAACGAATAAGATACTGAATATTAGTATAAGTAAAGGAGTAAGGCAAGGTTGTGTATTGTCCCCAACACTGTTTGAATCTTTATTCACAACTGCTTTTCAAGAAATCCTTGTAAAACCTTTATAAAGGAATAAAAAATAATGGAGATCAAATTTCTAATATAAGATGCTGATTCTAATATGGTATATGCTGATAACAATGTCCTACTAACTGATACAGAGCACGAACTTGCGAAAAGTTATAGACCAACTTAATGATGCTTGAGAGGTTGGATTGAAGATCAACGATCTTTGGAAAGTGCAACATGGAAAATCATTTGGGTTAACATAGCGCGAACCCTATGCTACAACCTACAAAGACTCTTACCTTCGAAAACAATGAATTTAACTGCTTGTTCGCGTTGTAGTAGGCCCCTTGAGACAGGTAACTTTTCACCTGTTCACACACTTGCTCCTCGTCCAAATGCCATGAATGTTCGTCGTCAGCGGAGGCCCCCGCCGTAGGGTCGGGGGCCCCCGGAATTTGGTTGATCTCCGATCGCTGTTGGAGGATTTCGTCGGCAAGTTTCTGAGCGGTAGGGAGTACCTCTGTGTGGTGTTCTGAGATCAGGTACTGGACGAACTTTTGAAGCTGCTGCCTGTCCATTTGTAGGAGAGTTTCTGTAAAATATTATGTGTTTGAAAAAATGTGAATTGATCACTTAAATAAAAAGTAGTAGTGAAAGGAAAATTTGAAAAATAGTACTTTCTACAGTACTAGTGTTCAGGAATCTATATTTCTTTATTCAAGCTAATCAAATATTGAATTTTTTTGAGTAGAATAAGTTTACTAGTAAAGCAAAAAGTGAAAGTCCGAAGATTTCTACTGTATTTTCTATAAGTTTATTAATGTTTATAAAATAATCAATTTAATAATTTTATATTATTAAAACATGGTATATTATTACTTATACAAGGCATAAATATTTACTTTTCTATACATTTCTTAAAATAATACAAAATTACCATATGTATTTGTTGTAATTTTATATACAAGCACACTACCTACGTGAATTTTAAAAGTTAGAGAACAATTTGCAATTATAGTGGCCAACTTCCATTGAGGACAAGGCACTTTAAGAAGAATAATCAACATTTTTACGGAAAGATATATTCTATATTCTCCCCCTCACTACATAGTAAATTTTCTTATTGTTTCATTGTCCAATTATGTAGTTCTATTGTAGTTAAGTTGAAATGTTTTCTTAGGTTGTACAGCCAATATATCTTCTTCATAAACTTATTTTTCTGTACATTTTGACATGTGGTTCGACTTAAAGCGGTTCACATCGTTGAATTACTCATTATATGGCCTAGATATTCCAGTTTCCAAGCAAAAACTTGTAAAAATTTTTGTTTGAGAATGTAGAAATGTTAAAAGTGTAGCCATTGATGACGACAGTTCCAATGTTGCCAAATTTGTAGGACGGATTTGAGACATGACGCAAGCCCTCATATTTTGCCGTACTGCTCATCCACAGGTCTATACATCAGCGTATTTCAGTCTAAATAGCATATTCATTTAGAATTTTAAACTACTATGTTAGCCTAGACACATGGCAACACTTATGGCAGATACTAAAAGAAGTAAGCGTACTACAGCACTTAATTTCGCTTATAACTGAATTATACGAACACACTACCGGAACAGTTAAAGTGCTTTATACACTCTCAAGCGAATTCCGTTTAGAAGGTGTCAGACAAGGATATATACTGTCTCCACAATTATTTAATATATATGAGGAGCATATTATGAGAAGAGCGCTTGAAGGGTGGAAAAGGGCATCTCAATAAATGGCCGAAAAGTAAAAAACCTTTGTTTTGCACACGACACCTTCTTGCAAATAGTCAAGAAGAGTTAATTGGTCTCATACAACTGGTTGAAAACGAAAACCAAATATTTGGTCTGCAGTTAAACATATCAAAGACAAAGATCATAATAGTGGATAGACTACATATCAATCATCCACACATAACCACTATTAACCGGTTTGAGGTTGTCACCTCATATATTTTATATCTGGGATCATTGATCACAAACACAGGGTCACGACAGTGACAAATAAAACGTAGATATGATCTAGAAAAAGACAGCCAAAATATGGAAAGACTCAAATTTCACGAACTCTAAAAATGAGGTTGATCAACGGCTTAATATTTCCAATACTGACATATGGATATGAATCTTGGAACCTACGACAAAAGGAAAGATAGACGCCACTAAAATGTTCTATTGGAGAAGGTTACAAATTCTGAGAATGTTACAGATTATAAATGAATAGAGTCAGCAAACGGCTCTCCAGCAATTAAAATACTTTGGACATGTTATGAGAGCAGACACAGAAAACATGGAAAGAATCATACACACATGGAAAGACAATAAACATAACGATGACCACTACACTCCCTCCGGGGGCAGGATTGAAGAGATAGATGTTAGCCTTTTTGTTGTCTGGTCAGGACCTGAACCATCGTCCGCTAGATCGTTCACAGTGAAGTGAATGCGATTCGGCCACCTGACTTGCTTAGCTATCTAACTGACCACTCTTAACATGAAATTTAAAAAAATGCTAAATTCACCAAAAGTATGTTAATTAAAGTATGTTAAATGAATGTAATAAAAGTATGTTAATGAATAAAAATTTTCACTACTACTTTTTGAATCTTCCTTTATGTGTTTTAGTATCTCACAACTCTGACGATTATGTAACTCCCACGACATGATAAAAAATAAAATCATTAATTTCAGCCGTTCAGGCAGGTACTTTTATGGTTAACATTTATGCGTTCAAATGAGTACTTGGACACTCCAGAGCTTATGAGATATTATAACATTGAATAATTCTAAAATAACATTGAACCTTAGAAATAATGATACCTTTTAACTAAAATTCATTCTATTGGATTTCTCCTATCGGTAACATGCTAAAATTATTTAAAATTAAAATATCGTTAGCAAATATTGTAACTCATAATTAAAGAAATTTGCTGTTTAACTTACTTGATATTGGAAATGAAATCTGAATTTCATATACCTAAATATCCCACATAAATAAAGTATCTCTCAAGGTAAATCGTGTTTGTTTTCTCCTCTTTAAACATTTATTTTCTCCACCATTACTATTATCATTAAATAATTTTTTTTCAATATTTCAATTCAGAAATATTGCAAATTATTGCACTCAGTACTAAAAGAGAATTTTACTGTCATCATTGCATAAAATTGTCTTTTTAAAGACAAATCACATGAAATGATATTTCTGACGGGTATTCTTCAGGGTTGGGGCTGTTTTAAAACAAGCTTTTTAAAACAACGTTTTAAAACATGTTTAAAAACACTGAAAAAAAAACAGTTGCATTTTAAAACACCGTTTTAAAACATTGTTTTAAAACATAGTTTTTTTTCGTTATTGTTTATTATTATTTTGTTTATTAACATTTGTTATAAGATATTTGTGTTTGCTAATTTGCAAAATTGCAAACATAGATTATAGAGTAAGTAGGTGCAATAACAATATTAATGCTAAGTAAAAAGTAAAACTCAAAAAAAGTAACTGACTAAACTTTATTTATGTTCAGGTAGCAAGCATACTAGTACTGTTACGACAGTGCTGTAGTAACATTAACTAAACCAATACTCCTAATAAAGTTAAAAGAAAAAGAAAATTAAGAAATTAAGTAAATAATTATTGAATTACAACAGCATCTATTACACAGTCCTACATCCTGCAACTGATATGTGATACAAAAAATAAAAATAACAATGAATGTTCCTTAAAAAAATAAAAACTATAAATATAGAGCTTTTACGGTTAATAATGTAACCTTAAACATTTTTATTTAAATGTTGAAATATTGTTACTAGCTTAGCAGCTTTGTCACTTCCTAACCTATTCCTCAATTTCGAGTGAACTAGACCATATGAAGAAAATAGCCTCTCCACTCCAGCACTGGATGCAACTGCTGAAAATAATTGAGTTGTCAGCTGCAACAACTCCGATGAAATAAACTGTTTTTGAGATAGCCACCATGTTAAAGAACTTAAATTGTCTACTGTATTTTTTGCAAACAAATATTGTTTATTAAATGGCGGTGCTAAGGCACGAAATGACAGTATTTCGGGCATTACATTTGGGTGAAAATCCGAAATAAATAACAATGCTCTATCAACTTCCACCTCAGAGAGTTTCTGACCTAAGTACTGAGGGTCTAATAAATAAGCTAAATAATGCGCATCTGTTATAGCCAGTTGAAAACGTGCTTCTGCTTTATGAAGTTCCAACACGTTGCTACAACCGTTAGATTGAGCTTCACTTTCACTTTGGAAATAACCCAGTAAGTCCTTCCAAATGTCTGTTGCATCTGCTATGGTGCAGGTATTTCTCTGGCATTTATCCAAAGCCCATATGTGTGCCAGTTGAGGTTTATGGGAATCCCTTTAGAAATCCAGTGAAGTACGTAATTATTTTAAAACGTTTTTTTTTGTTTTAAAACAGTGTTTTTTTGTTTTAAAAACAGTGTTTTTTTAGATGAAAAAAAAAACTGTTTTAAAACAAAAAACATTGTTTTTAAATAAAAAAAAACATGTTTTTTGTTTTTTTTTAAAACATTTTTTTGTCCAACCCTGGATTCTTTAGTTACAGTTGTCTTTCATGTAATCGAATCTTACAATAAAGTCGTCCCAGGAACGCAACTCAAAAATATTGATATAATTTTAAAGTCGTCTACTTTAAAATATTGGTGTTTCTCTTCTATATAAAACTGTACAACAGCAATATTATTTACAACCTGTGAACAACAGTTTTAACAGGGGACTGTTCGAATAATTTGTGGACAGAATTTGCATATAAATATTTTCATTAAAATTTTATTTTAAAAATATATTTGTGATATCTTAAGATGCTTACCAGTTTTTTTATGTATTTGGATATTGTTAATTATGTTATTAACAACAAAAAAGTAAATATTTATAACAAAATTTGTAATTCTGCAAAAGGGACCAGATGACTGTATTTTGTGGTGTTTGAGTTCATTGAGTTATTCCATTATTACTAAATATGCTGCGATGATCCAAAAATACCTAATAATATATCGTAGTTAATATAAAAAACTTTAAAATATTAACATTTATTGCATACAATTAGTTGGAACAATAAATGAGGGAGTATTCGAAAAAACTGCCGAACACTTCGATTAGTATTTATAGTTGCGCATTTTTTTTTTCATAAAAACTTTTTATACGGGGTGTATCAGATAACGGTGGCCAATACCGACTTGCTTATTTTAAATAGATTTAGACATTTTTTGAATACAATGTCCTATACCTATCTTTCGACTGTGTCAGAAATATTGAGTAAAATGCAAAAATTCACATTTAGAAAAGAAAATTATTTATTTGTCGAAAGTCGCTACCACTGTCTTAATAACTTCTTTTCCATTTAGGTATTGGTAATGATAAAGTAAGCAAAAACTATTTAAAGCATTCCTTTTTAATGGATATGTAAAAAAAAAAAACAAAAAATTGTTTACGTTGGTTTAAAACTCAATGTTTACTGTTCCAAGACAGAAGTAGTTGTCATGATATAGTCGTTTGATATTTCATTAACCGCAAGCCAGAAAAATGATCATTTAACAGAAACGCACAAAATACAATTACAGATGATTATGGCTATGGTGATAAGACACGACGCAAATGGAAGTAGCTCGTTTATTCACGAAGCATTCCTGATTTAGCCGCACATATCTCAAGGGACAATTAGTTAAATAGAGAAGCAATTTCATGAGCTGGGCCATGTTAATAATGCTGGGAAGATAAAAAAAGAAGCTGCCAATGCAATAAATGAGGATACCAAATGGGCTGTTATGCTTGACTTTGAGGAACACCCTCATACATCTGTTTGAAAAGCAACCCCAGTACTCGACAGCTATTCATCGGTTATTCGAATATTATAAGAAAATAAAATGCATCCCTATAAAATTATAGACTCAGGAGCTCATGGAAGATGATTTTGACAGGAGAACGTATTTTAGTGACAATGATGGTAATGTTAGCAATGTGATCCAATTAGAACATGTTTTGTTTTTTTTATGAGTGCACCTTTACTCCTCTCACGGTCATGCTAATCGGCCAAATTGCCGCTATTGGTCCAGGGAAAATCCTCACTGGATGAAAGAAGGCAATACTCAATACCCTGAGATGGTTAACGTGTGGGCAGGAATTATTGAAGATCTGATCATAGGTCCCTTTTTCATAGATGGCAATTTGAATGGCGACAATTATTTAGCATTGCTCCAAAACAATGTAGTGCCAACGTTGATCAACTTGTATCCTGATCCGGGAAACCCACAAGTTCCAGCGAATATGATATGGTTTCAACAAGATGGAGCACCACCCCACTACCAAATCCATGTCCGGCAGTACCTCAACCAAATATTTCCAAATCGGTGGATAGGGAGGTGAGGATCGATCGCCCGATTTGACGTCATTAGACTTTTCTTATAGGGATATGTGAAAAGTATTGTATACAAACTAAACCCACTGACTTACGAAGCGAATAACGCTTGCGATAGATCGATCACTCTGAGATGTTGAGTAACGTTAGAAGAAATTTCTATTCACGGTTAGGGTGTTGCCAAGACGTTCGTGGGGAGCATTTTGAACATCTCTACATTGACATTATTGTTTAGATTTGTATTATTTAGAAGTTTTTGAATATGTTGTAGCGACTTTCGGCAAATAGATAATTTTCGTTTCTAAATGTGATTTTTTGCATTTTATGTAATATTTCCGAAACAGTCAAAGATAGTTATAGGACCATTATAGAACATTGTATTCAAAAAATGTGTATGAAAATATGTATATAATTATCAATATTAATGAGTCAGATAAAACTAAATTATTGGAACTTTCTACCAGGTAACAAACAAAATTTGTCAGTTTATTAATGTTTTTTATTTCAGGACGATTTCCGAAGTGGAATAGAAACGTCAGGTATTTTGAGGACGATTTCCAAAAAAAAAGGAAATTGTGGCTTATTCCCAATGTAAATTGAACGCCACAAGAAAATAGCTTCAGAATACAAATACAGGGTGTTTCATTAAAAAAACATGTTTGATACAGTATATTGTTATGAAAAACTCTGTATATTTATGACTAATTTTAGAATCTGAAACATATAGCTCTTATTTTTGTAAATAACTTTCTTTGGTATCTTTTATAATCCAGATGTAACAAACTGTGTCATAAAAGTTGAACCCACTATAAGTGTAGCATACCCCCATTGCTATTTAAAAAGAAATTGAGGGTGTGGCTGTCACCTGAACAAATATAGTGTCATATATTAGAAAAAGTTTAAAAATCAATGTGTCCAATCGATTTTGTTTTATCATTAAAATAAATGAGTTGACAGGGTGTGGGTAAATTTGTTTATTACCAAAAAACAACACCTTTTTTGCAAAAATAACTTGTTTTTTCACTTTTCCTAATAGTTTTAACATTCAAGAATATTATTGCTCTTTGTTAAATAACCGTAGAAGCATACTGTAGGCAGCAATAACCAACAAGTGTTTAAAAATTTGATTTCTACTATGACTTAGATACTTATATTAGATAACTGTAATAATTTTCCTTTGAAATATATTTTTCTAGACTGGATGAAAATGCTGTAGAGCCAAAAGGTAAGGTTTAAAAAACTAAAAAGTAGGAAAAATTGTTTATTTTTTAAATAATACAAAATAATAAATAAAAATATTTACAAAAAAACAAAAGACAAATATAAATGTACCAACATGATTTCATTATTAACAGTAACACAAAACGACTACAACCAGAAAGTAGACATTTTGTAACACCACATCTATTATCAAAATTGTCGATTTAAAAAATACTTTAATAGGTAATACAATTCAATGATTTTTAATAAAAAAGTGATGAAAACATTTATTCACTACTTAGTCGAAAGAAATTTCCATCTATCTGGAGAAGTAATAAAAGATCATTGAAAGTAATTGTAATACCTTAGATATTTAAGCACAGCATATTCAGACCATAACTGTGTATCAAAAATATTGAAAGTGACATAATGATATAAAGTTCTAGCCTCTCATCTCTCTTTCAATATTTCAAAACTCCTGTTTACACAGATTAAACCCAATTCTATCAGTTTGAGCTTCAACATGGATATTGTTCGGCAGATCAAAACGTAGATATTGGACAGTAAATCAAGACGTGAATATTGTACAGTTGTTTTTTTACTTGTTATCTTTTGATATGATAATTAAATATACATAGTCAAAATATTTGAACTATATTGTCTACTTATTTTCATTTGAAATGTACAGGCATCAATCCTATACCACCACCACTTTTACCACCCTTTCCTTTACCCCAAGAACCCTTCTTGGAACCTGTTGACTTCTTCCGTGGACTTCTTGGCTTTCGTCTTTTCCATGTACCTTTCGCTCTTTTTCCAGTCCATTTATTACCCCCCGTCCACTTTCTCTTTGTTCCTCGTGAAGATGAAGATTGTGAGTCACACCAGTCATTTTCATTATCTACAGATAAGGAAGTTTCTGTTAATTTCGGAGCTGTTACCAAATTGTCTACTGCTTCGCTGAATTTTTTGGTTATCTTTAAAAAGTTTTCACCACACTTCTTATAATTGGCAGCTGTTACGTGCTGGATTTTTAAGAATTCTTCTTTGGTTTTTGGCAGAACATCAGACATTGTTTTTATAGCTGTAAGATTCATAATCGATGACAAAGTTAGATTTCTTTCTAAAGCCATCTTGCGGCATTCCTCCAAAAGAGCTTCGTGACACTCTACTTTTAGTTTGTTTATTTTTACTTTGTTATACTTGCCATACGCAGTGTTTTTGGTTTGATTGGTAACTACAGGAAGGATTTTGGGTAAAGCAGGTGAATCTTGAATGTCTGAAGGCCCAGGTGAATCATCAATATCCACTGGTTCGATTTTTTCCTCTGTATTTATTTTTGTAACAGACTTTTTATTTACTGGAATGGTTATTTTAAAGTTTGAACTATGGAGCATATCAAACTTCTTTCCAACTTTTATGTAAACAACTGGAAACTCTCCATTGCAAGTAACATTATCTTCTAGGACATTACCCAATACTAATTTTTTCAAAATTCTATGTATGTCTGGTTTATTCAATGAAGAACCAGCACCATAAAGTCGATGCTTATCGTGTCCCATCTGCAAAATCTTCTTTAATTTGGAACCTTTATATACATCAACAACATGTAACATTGTCACATTGCTCCGTGCACAGAGATCTTTGGTTAAGGTACCTAATTCTTTTGCCTCTTTTGTAACTTCGACACTATTATATGATTCGAAATTTTCACAATTGTCACATGTTGTGGCTTTATTTCTAATACAAAGTTGGCGATTAAAATTTTCTCCGAGATGTATTAACTGCAAATAACGACGACAATCAACTACATTTTCTGCAAAGGAAACCATTTGTTTGAGGTTGTTATTGTGGCCTTCTCGAGCTTTAGCACTCGAATTTCTTTCCCTACCCATGATCTGAAATCAATAAATAATTTTTTTAACATAGTTATCTTTTATTTTATTAATGTATTATATATAAAACAATCCAAAAGTAAACAAAAAGAATTGACTCAATTTTCCTCCAAGACACTAAACAGAAAGAAAAAGTATACCACCGTCCATCATTAAATGGATTTATTCATGCTCAGTACCTGGAACATAATTGTTAACCAGTAAAAGGTTGTTCTCAAAGAGGAATCTCATCACCTCTACTGTGGTCGATAGTGGTTAATGATCATTTAACAAAGCTCAAAGAGAAGGATTTCATGCTCTGGGTTATGCAGATGATCTAGTTACAACAGTTAAAGTTAAGTAAAATAGTAAAAGGCAATAACGCAGTTGCAAAAAGTGCATAGACTCATTTGTTTATACAGTTACAAGTGCAATGTGATCATAGTTCCACCTCCTTGTTTGACTCACTTTGAATTGTAACCAATGAAGTTAAAATATGTCCCTTCATTTCTATATGTCCTGGTAAAAATTTCAATATTATTACAGTATAATAAAAGAATGATCTTAAGATTAGTGTTTTAATAAAGGGTTATCATTTATAATTCTAAAATAATTACACACTGTGAAGATTTAAGGTAAACTTTTTAATGGAATCCTCATTATTGATGTAAATGGCACAATTACTTCAATTTATTTTGAAGTATATTCTACCATTTTTGGTCCAAACATGCTTTATTTTATAAGTATATACACTATGCTGAATGACTGCCTAGTTAAATAGACAAATGTGCCATTTTCTTGATGCCAAAACAGACTTCCTCATGGTAACATTAGATAGTTTATCAACAATAACTGAGTCCTGTTTTGTTGACCTGGTTGACCCAGTTGACCTGGTGATGACACTTTTCTAATAAGCAGTAATATTATTAAAGTTTATATGATATTGAAGACACTTGAAGAAATAAAAGAAATGAGCAATCAATCATAAAAAACAGAAATTTTAACAAATATGATGAATGACTGAAATACAATACCAAATTCAACTACAATCCCTTTTCCTTTGGAAAATACAACTGTGGCATCTTTTCCACCACTATATATAAAATTCTAGATCATATCAAGACAAAAGCGGATAAAAATTAAGAACTTCTGAATGAGCCATGGGAACAACTACAAGAAATCTACAAAAGTTAAAAATGACAGCAGAGATTATGTGACTCAACTAGTTATGTTTTTAACCCATTTATGCCCAACGGGTCGTTAACGACCCAACTAACAAAAATATGTTCCAAACAAATATGTCGAATTTACCAGTCGCCGTATGTTTACAAGTTCATTCCTGACTATGCAAGTAAGCAGTTTATTTAGTGCAAAACCGTTTATTTCGCTCGTAGTGTTCGTAGAGTGTACATCAAAATAGAACTTGAATAACGTTCACAGCATGGCTTCATTCAAACATTTGTAAGTACATTTAAATAAATTATTTGATTATTTAAATTCATTTTATATAGTTAAACACAAGTTGTGTTAACACATTATAATATTACTAGTATGAAAATAATTTGATATATGTCATAAATATAATATTATATTTTGATGGGTCGTTAACGACCCGTTGGGAATATGACATATCATAATGGGAAAATGTTTTTTTAGTAAGAAACCATTATCTACGGCAGAAATTCTGGAGGAAATAGAAAAAATTGAAAACAGTGAGACTATACCGGATGATATATATATTTTGCCTCCAGATAATAATGGCTGGTTAACCGATTCGGATTCTGGAGACGAGGAATGTAATGATCCGGATAGACTAAATAGAGGTCAATTAAATGCCTGCGCTGAAGTACAATTTCAGCGTGATGAGGAAAACATAGAAAATGAAGTTCTTCAAGAAGTATCTGATTTTACAGTACAACATCGAACAAAGAAACTAAAGAAGACGCCCCGAAAATGGTCGAACATGATAAATTTACCAACATTACGTGCGGATTCCGATCTACAGAGATTACCAGTTTTGACACTTACTTCTGAAAGTAATCCAGTTAAATTTTTTGAATTGTTCATGAGCAGAGAAATAATAGAGTATTTAATTAAAGAAACAACAAATTATGCTGCCTCGAAAAATCAAAATATTACAATAGACATTGACGAATTTTATGTATTCTTGGGAATTTTAATTTTAAGTGGTTACGTTCCATTACCAAGGCGAAGAATGTATTGGGAAAACTCAGATGATACACATAATATTTTAGTAACGAAATCTATGAGACGCAATAGATTTGAAGAGATATTTAGATTTTTTCACGCTGCAGACAACAATCACCTTGCTGAAAATGATAAATTGGCCAAGATTAGACCTTTCATCGAAAAATTAAATACAAAGTTTTTAACGTTTGCACCCATTGAAAATCAAATTTCTATCGACGAATCTATGATTCCTTACTTTGGTCGTAATGGGTGCAAACAATTTATTCGCGGCAAACCAATAAGATTTGGCTATAAAGCATGGGTAATGGCTTTATCAAATGGATATTGCCTAAATTTTGACATATATCAAGGCCGAAAATTAACAACTGGTGCTGATAAAAATTGTGGATTAGGAGAAAGTGTGGTGTTGACTTTTGCAGAGATTTTGCGAAATACATATAAAAATATAAAATTTTCCTTCTATTTTGATAACTTTTTTACAAGTATGTCTTTGATATCATCAATTGCAGAAATGGGGTTTAGTGCCACTGGAACTGTACGCGAAAACAGAACAGAAAAGTGTCCTTTAGAAGATAAGAAAAGTATGATGAAACAACCAAGAGGATATTATTGTAGCTCTTTTGATGACAGCAGTAAAATTGCGGCTGTAAAATGGAAAGATAATAATGTTGTCACTATGTTATCTAATGAGCATGGAACTGAGCCAATCCAAAAAGCAAGCCGATATTCAGCAAAAGAAAAATTAAAAATTCAAATAGATCAACCATTTGTAATTTCGCAATACAACAAATTTATGGGCGGAGTCGACTTGATGGACAATAACATTTCAAACTATAGAATAAAAATACGTGGAAAAAAATGGTACTTTCCAATATGGATATGGATGCTGGATGTTTGTGTAACTAATGCTTGGACACTAGCACGACAATTTGGATATAAAAATGACAACTTAGAATTTAGAAGACATATAGTTCGTACATTATTGTCTAATTATGGAAAGTCAGCCCGTTCTACTGGACCTCAAAATATTGCAATAATTCCTGCTCCGTCCACATCAACACAACATCTAATTATTACTGGTGCTCAAAGAAGAAGATGTCGTGTATGTTCAAATAAAACTACAAAAGCCTGCGATAGATGTGAAATTCCACTCCATGATAAATGCTTCAAAGATTATCATACAAACTATTTTAAGCTTTAAGTAATATAATTAAACTATGCCTGCTTCATAGTTTTCATTTTAGGGAGTAAATGTTTAATTTGTTAGGAGAAAGTAAAATAAAATGTACATAATTTCATAAAAGTTATTATTTTTATTTTGTACCCCTATGTGCCCAACGGGTCGTTAACGACCCAGCATATTTTTCGAAAAGCCGTTTTTGAAAAATTTTTTTAGTAATTTTTCAATGCATTTTAGGGTATTTTATTACATTCTTGAGAAAATCATTGATATATTTGACAAAAATAGTTGTGGGCATAAATGGGTTAAGTCTGTTTTTATTAACAAAATCATCTTACCCTTTGTAATCTTATGACATCAGCGTAGCTGTAAAACAGATAAGAATATGATAAATCACCATCTCTGCCAGCTCTCCCAGATTCTTGATAAAAAGCTTCAACAGATTTTGGAATTGAATTATGTATTACAAACCGTACATCAGGTTTGTCAATGCCCATTCCGAATGCAATTGTAGCAACAATAACAAAAAACCTAAAAACAAATTGACTGAATTATTTTTATTTTTCTATTATACATCAATTTCTGTATTGTCCAATACAACAATTAATACTGTTCTTTGAATCTTTAAACTATTCTACTGATATGAGAATATACTCTTAATAGCTTCTTTTTGCGAAATAGGACTTTTAAATGATGAAAAACAGTAATAACATTAATTTTTTCTATTAATTTCTCTATGTCATCTTTTAGTACATCAGTCACCTGTTGAATATTCTGAAAAGAAAAGGTCTCCCAAGATCTAAAAATTATTCAGTACTTCGAAGAACAAGAATTAGCAACAGTATATTGTCTGAAAATAACAATAAAAAGCTATACCAATTAAATTTGAGATAAGTGTGTATACTGAGTTCCATGTTTTTTAACATATACTATGAAATAAGTATTCCAAAAAACACTCAAATGCACAGAAGATGCCTTATTGCTAAATAATTTTAAGCTATGCTGATTACACAATTATAAATGCAGACAGTTCAGTTCACATTAAGCAATTTTGTAATATGCTACTAGTCCACATTTTGCATGGGGTTGAAACAGGGATGTTACAATGTAGTAGCCTGAATTAAAGACATTTTAAATGCTATCTCAACAAATGTTGCAAATAACTTTGATTTTCTATATTACCATCTTGGAAATTTCGGACATTGAACATGAGCTGATTAAATTGTTAAAAAACAGAAAATTGCATATCTTGGTCATGTAATTAGACAATACAGTACAATATTATTTCCTTCAAGTTTGATGGTAAAGATGGACCATGAGCAAGAATAGTGCTCCTCTAGCTTAAGACAGGACTAGATAGGCTTGGGATCAAAAATGATTTGCTGAGGAAGACCAAAGTCAGAGAAGCATTTGCCCAAACTGTTGTTGACCAATATAGAAGGCACTTGAAGAAGAAGATTATACTGAATATGATTGCTGTGTAACATTAGTAAATAAAAACTGCACTACATTTTCTAATAAATGTTACACAATGCATTTGACATAAGATGTACTAATAGAAACAATGTAGTCACAAAAAAACTTAAGAAGAGAAGGGGCTTTGATTATTTTTTGAGTTATTTAAATTATATTTAGGTTCAACTATAAATACCTGTCTTGCATCCATTCTCTTTGAATTGCTGCACGGATCTTATCACTCATTCCTGCATGATAAGGTCTTGTTTTGATACCAGCTGCATTTAAAGTGTCTGCTAAAGTTTCACAGTCATTTCTAGCTAAACAATAAATAATTCCTGATTTTTTTAAAAACTTTTTTTTGATCAAATTGACTATTTCCTCACTAGCAAATTTCTTCTTCTTCTCTATAACCTTCAAACAAAATAATACAAGTGAATATTTCTGGCTTACTTATATTTTTCTCTAACTTACCTGATATTTGATATTTGGTCTATTAAAACTCATAATGAATCTCTTAACATTTTTTAGCTTTAAAATGTTAATAACATCAGTCTCGACCATTTTGGTAGCAGTAGCTGTAAGGCACATTATTGGGACATTTTTAAATTCATCTTTAAGGAATGATAACTCTTTGTAGTCAGGCCTAAAATCATGACCCCATTGAGACAAACAGTGAGCTTCATCAATAACAAACCTAAAATGATTAGAAAATCAGAGAAAGGTACAAAAAACACAGGCTTTAGCATATACATGATAGTTTTCATGTGAAAATGAAAAGTTTATATTATTGTCCATTTCATCATTCTTTTGGTTTATCATGTTTCTGGATGATGTCTAGCCAAAAATTGCCATCAAAAAGCTACAAAAAGCTATTTGTCTTCTTCCTTCTCAATATGTAGACATACAATCATATCATCCACACTTTTATTACTCCATGTTTCAATCAACCTTATGATTTTTTCTCAATTACTTATTTTTATTTTTCTAGCATTCATAACTTACTTTTGGTAGAATGTCAACTGGTCACAATACTGCTGGTTCCTGAATAAAAGCTATTTTCATTATATTTTGCTAAAACCTTTCTCTTCTTGCATCCTTTAAACATGATCCCTTCAAAAATGCTTGCCTACTATAATTTATTACCATATCCTGTATTTCCTGTTTTTCTTCAATAATGTGGATTCTAATTTTTATTCCTAAGAATTACTCTCTTAATAATTCTTAACAGTCATTTTTTTGAGATTTCTTTGGTCTTTTGCTGTAAAGTTATCCCTGAATTAAATGTGGTAATAATAATCATTTTTCAAGCTGTGAAAAATGAAAAGCATAGCAATTCCAAACTTGGTGTATAAATGGTGTACCTAATGATGGAATAGAATTACTCACTCCGAAGACCAATTAGTAGTAGTATCCTAAATTCTCACAGGGCTGACGAAATAACAGTTGACAATTATAGAGAATTTTGTTTAAATATGAGCAAAATTTATGTGTATAATTAAACTTAAAGCATATTATTAAATGTCTTTTCTGACTTACCTAGCTAACTTCCCTCTTTGATACAAAGCCTTCAACATATCACTCACTTGTCTAGAAGCCATTATTTTTTCTGGCGTAAGATACAACAGTTTTATGAGTGGTTCTCTACAGTGCAACTTGGTCATAATTCGTCCTGTTTCTTCAATACCAACATCTTGACAAAGATGAGCAGCTGCAATATCAAGACCATTCATTTTATCCACCTGATCTCCAATCAACGCTCTTAGAGGCGAAATAATTATTGATACTCCTTCACTTAGTACAGCAGGCAGCTGGTAACACAGACTTTTTCCTCCACCAGTTGGCATAAGAACAAAACAATCATGTCTCTCAAGGGTTGCATTAATTATCTCACGTTGTTGCGGTCTGAACGTCTGAAGACCAAATTTTTGGTGCAGAACTTCCTCCATAACATCTGAGAAGTGATATCGTTTATCGAATTCAGAAAGGTTGTCATTTCTATCTTTAAAACTTATTTGAGATGAAAAAGGCTCTTCGCCAAAATCATCTTCCTCCCAGTTGATTGCAGAAACTTCTTCTTTATAACTGTCATGTGCTACTGATGGAGTTTCTATAAAGAAATATGTCAATAAAACACAATGAACATTTATTCTATTTCATATATGGTAAAGTTCCATTACTTGGGCAGTATTAATGCAAATTTTCCACAAATATGTATATTATCACTGATTAAAGAGAACCAAAAAAATTAAAATCCATTCTCCTTTAACAATATGAACAGGAGGTGTGATTATATCTGCCTGATTATTTTACAAACTGTCAGCATAAATGCTAATAATAAATCTTTTTTCTAAAACAGTATTCTTCTATATACATATATCACACTAATAATACAATAGTGTCGCAACTCAAAATGTTTTGAAATTGACATAACACTATATTCACAGGTAAAATTCAATTCCCTATAGGTCAATAAAACTGTCATTTTAATAGTGCAATAAATGAATAAGAGATGGCACCATAAGATGTTATTCATGACTGACAGACTGTTGTCACCCCCCTCACAATATCACGTTATCTTTAGTTGCAACCAATAGTTATTGGGAACGCATGTGTTGCTTTGCTCATCATTTCGAGTTACCACTATTGCTGAATCAGGTATGTAATTTCCATAGCTATATTTCGAGTTATTACATTCTTGTTGATTTGAACCTAACCAAAAAATTGTTGTTTTTCTAATTATTACACTATTACTGATTTACACCAGCACTTTGTAAATTAATATTTTTACTAACGATACTATTATTGGTTCGGTTCATTATTTTTGACATGCTACATTATTTTTGAATCATCACTTTAAATCATTTTTGTTGTTGTTTGTAAAACATGTATTAATCATTATCTATTTGTCGATCACCAGATAGTAATAACTCATTTAAAATGTGTAGCAGTATTAAGAAACCTTACTAACTACTTTATTTTATAAATTTAGAGTTACTACCCTCTTCGTGACATTCTTGCAAGTACCTATACACTTAATATAATATTATTTGATTCATTTTTAGGTTCAATACCTCAGTCGTGGGCTATTACTTGTTGCTATGGCAACAAATGATGAGGATTGCGAGATGGAAACCTCTTCACCATCGTTATTGTCACTGGAGGGTAAAAATAATAAACCTGGTGCCCAACTATAAAACAGTGACCTTGCGAAAGTACAACCACCACCTATACCTTTCCATTTACGAGTTATGAAGTACTTCAAGAAATTTACCTAAACAGTGAAACAGCGAATGAGATTGGAAGTTATACTCTGTAATTTATAGAAAAAATCATACAGACTACTCCTGATTTTATTCTGATAATTATTGTTGCGTGCAGCAAAAAAAAATAAATACATCCTTACAGCATATACGTACCCAGTACAGAAAATGACTGTCAAAAGCATAACCCACAAATTTCTGATTTGCGGTCATTCTCAAAACGAGGGTGACAATGTGCATAGCGTCATAGAAAAGCAAGTAAAGTGTTTCGTAAAATTTGGTCCAGTATATGTTGCACAAGAATATATGACATTAATTCAGACAGCTAAAACGACAGGCAAACCGTATAGCGTGACTGAAATGACTAATGAAAAATTTTAAAATCTGAAATTACTTTAAGAAGAGTGGGGTAACAATTTTAATGTTAATGAGGAGAAAGACAAAATAAAATGACATGACATTAAGGTATTTCGTGTTTAAAACGAAGATCCATTTATTTTCTTTTATAAGAACCTAAGAAGATGAAGATTACCAAAAAGTTTTCATATGTAGCTTACGACGAATTGAAAACCAGACTTCATTATTTGCTAATGGTTTGACACGAGAGTACACAAGCAAGATATCTTCTTAAAATAAAAAAAGGGACTTAAAGGAATTACTTGACAAAAATGTAATACCCACAAGTTATCGTGAAACTTACTATAAGGATTTGACCAATTAAAAATTAAAATTGTAATCAGGAATAATTGATTTTTAGACTGATTCAAACTAAGTTTAAATAATTTGTTTTTTTTAGTATGTCCTTTAAATTAACTACGAATTAAATATGACTAGATTTTGTGTTTTTTTTAAAGGTTTATTTTGTTAAATATATAGATTAAGTACAAAATGTTCAAGATTACTGTATTATGTTATCTGTATCTGAATTTGTTTGATTAGAATATAAACGTAATTAAAAACAGTCTTGATTTATTTATTAATATCAAAAACAACAATTTTCGGCAATTGCTAACATGTAATAAAATCTCTTTAGATCAAATGTTAACAAATACCAAGAATCACTTCCCAAAATTGTTGTAAGTCCAAAAACTAACGTAAACCGCAGAAAAAAATAGTAAATAAAATTGTAGTAACACAAAATATTTCATAAATAATGTCATAACTAAAAATAATATTATTTCATTTCGACCATTTTTCTTAGAGCAATACAGTGTTAACTCAAAATTTTTAAATAACTTCACTGTCAGTATTTTTATTTACTAAGAGCACAAAGAAACTTTCTCTAATATTAATTAGAAACATATTATGCATTCATTTTTTTTACCTGCAATAGGAAATCATAAATGAGTTTTTCGTTGATTCTGAAAAATCATCTTTTTTGAGTTACAACACTATTGTATTATTAGTGTGATTATATATATGTATATAAAAAAATTATAACATAACAGCATGTCAAGATTATAAGCAAAAAACAAAGCCAATACTTAAATAGTTTTATATTGAATATGCTAATACAAATATATTTTCAAGGATAAATGGAACATTACTAAAATTAACTGTAAATGCTTACCTGTAAAATCTTCCTCATGTTGAGGAAAATCATCATTCCAATCTATTGCACTTAAATCAATTGGATCATCTGATTTTTTACTTGACCCACCAAAGAGTTTTTCAAATGTTTCATCATCCAAGTAATCACCCTCTGCAGCACATAAAGCCTGACTAATAATATCATTGTCATCGTCAAAATAATGAGTATTATTTGTTTTCTCAATTTTTTCTGTTGGAATCTTGGTGTTTTGAATAACTGGAGAACATTCTGCAGAACTAACGGAAATTATACTATTATTATACTTTTTACTCGTGCCCATGGCTAATAAACTAGGACTTATAGGAGAATCAGAAGATAAAGCTTTTTTAAATTGGAATTTTTTCCGTCTTACCACAGGAGAATCTGTTGATGAGCTAGGGCTATTAAAACTACACTTATTGACATTTTCAGTAATTTTATCAACAGTTTCTAAATCTTGATCTAATTTGGGTTTTGTACTATCATTCATTTCACTGTTACTTTTCTGCAATTTAATATCTTTGTTTTTTTCTTTCTTTGGGCTTTCTTTACTGCTACTGCTAGGAGAATCTTTTCGTTCTAGCTTCTGTACTGTTTTTGTAGAGAGTTCCTCACTAAATAGAGACTCTAAAGCTGCAACATTCAATTCACTGTTACTTTTCTGCAATTTAATATCTATGTTTATTTCTTTCTTTGGGCTTTCTTTACTGCTAAGAGAATTTTTTTGTTCTAGCTTCTGTACTGTTTTTGTAGAGACTTCCTCACCAAAAAGAGATTCAAAAGCAGCAACAGTATTCTTTACTGGTTTTTTCTTGAAATTAAATTTTTCTGGATCTCTGCAACTCTTCGATGTTTTCACATTGATTTTCTCTTGACATATTTTCTGTGTTGGTTTCTCAAAATCTTCTGAAGAATTTCTGCGTACATGTTTAAAACTAAATTTTGACTGAGAGAGAGGTGTGGAAGTTGTAGTTACAGTTTTCTCTTGTACTGTGTTAGCTTTACTTTGGCTTGTGAATTGTAATATTGTAGTTTGTGAATTCGAGATTTTTTTTACAGATTTTGTAGTCTGTGTGGAAGACTTCTGACTGTTAGTAGCAGAATTTGTTCTCTGACTGGTACTGACATTTGATAAACGTTTTAAATTAAGATTTGGCTTACTAAAGTTATTAGCAACAGATTTGCAATTAGATTTTTCATTCTTGCTGGAATTATGTGTTGTGGATTTTATGGAAGATACATTCCTGGTGGGAGTATCTTTAAAGATAGCCTCCAATTCATCTTCTAATGGGTCATGTGTAACGTTTTCATTTTTCTTGGAAGGCGAGAAAAAATGCGACACGGTTTCTGATGCAGCAGATTTGTTATCACTCCTTTCAACTTTTTTAAAATTAAACTTTCCCACTTTAGTCAAAGGTTTGTTCTTAAATGCATCGAAAAAGTCTTCTGTATTATGTGCCATAGATATTTAACAGTCACAGACACTTCATGAACATACATTGAGTTAGAAATTATATAGTTAGTTTTACTAAATGGAGATTAAACTATTTCACGTACGATTAAAACAGTATTTCTACTTTAACAACAAAGAACAGTTCTATACACTTACATCAAACGACCACCATTTTCTTTTCTATATTAAATTGTCAATGTCAAGTCAACTACAACGAAACTAGACTTCTCGTATACGGTGGCCTTTTACTCGTTTACTAAACCAGCCATATCGTAGCGGTCTGAATTTAAGTTAGGTAAAATCATTAATTTGAGATTAATTTTAGATATTGTGATATTATCTACTCTAAAAAATTATTTTGGTAGGTATTAGCATAGATAAAATTATATTTAATTTAAATAAAAAATATATGAATCATCTGTTTCATGGCAATTTTTTTCATAAGTACTATGATTATAAAAACAAAATGTCAAACAATGAGTCGTACCTTTACATATAAAATAGTTTACTCCACATAAAATTTTCCATTTCGCAAAGAAGACTTAATTTTTTCGAAGTATAAAACTTTATCGTTCAAAAAGCGGCCTATGCTTTTCATGGATGAAACATTTTCTCACTATTCCGACTGTGATTCCGACCCATATTTAAAATCTTAGAGTAATCTTTCAATCAAGGACTTTTTCAATCTATTTCCAAAGAATAAAGGATTATAATTCTCACCTCTGACAATAGATCAATACAGAATAGATCAACAATACTGAATAGATCTGAATGAAAATAGCTTTATTTCGAATGATTATTTAAGATTTCAATCAATACATACTATAAAAGTGATTATCATTGTGCAATAAACTTTGAAAATTATTTTAAAAACGGCTACAAGAAAAACTGATTCTGAGTTTGCTATCAAGATCAGTTTTAGTTATAGACAATACACAAAATAAGTTAAAATTAAATAAAATTATAATAAATTTAAAAAAATATGTAAAATATACAAAAATTTTAAAAAGTTATAATAATTAAATAAAATTACATAAACTGAAGTAAAATTATATAAAATAAAATAAAATTATAAAAAGTTATAATAAATTATAAAAAATTATGAAAAATTTTAAAAAATTATAAAGAATTATAAAAACTTTTATAAAATTAAATACAATTATTAAAAATTATATAGATAATATTAAAAATGTGTATGATTAATAAATTATATATTATATTTAACCAATTTTGAAAATTGCTAAAATTAAACACAATTTTTAAAGAAAAAAATTAAGATTTTTTACATTTTAAAGAATTTAAAGTGTAGTGTTATTATAAAAATATTAACAAACGATCTATATAAAAGGCTATGATGACAAGTCCGACCGTTTGTCAAGTAAGGTAACGACGCCACCTAGAAAAGAATTCTAAACTACTAACATTTGACATTTTAATCATATTTTGATTAAACGCTTTACCAAAATAAAATAAACTTAAAACTAAATAAGATTAAATAAAATTAAATAAAGGTGAATAGAATTAAATAAAATTAAATCAGAACAAAACAGAATTACGTAAAATTAAATAACAATTAAATACAATTAAGTAAAATTCGGATCGTGACGTATGATGTAACATTGGAAAGGAGATGGAGTACCCAATACGTTGAGACAGAAAACACATATTGCGGCATTGCTAAGAGGGCATTACATCATATCTCCTTTGTTATTGGTCCGATTGGAGCGTGTGATACGTTAAATGAAAAAGAAGGATATCACGAATATTTTAAAATAGAAAAAACAAACAAGGCGAGTACCAAAAGGGTACTACACAGTGTCTTTATTATTAATGAACGTATATTTTCATACAAGATATCATGGGGCACTATGGATAAAAATAGATTAATTAAAAGACATATTTTGATTTATTGACTTAAAGAAGGCCTCTGGCTGAGTACAAAATAAACAACTAAACGAATCCTAACATGCGACATAGTGTCGCCAATAGCTCAATTCCGGCTTTACGATTGGTCAAACTGCTACCATAATTGCAGCCAATGTATTGTCCGAAATTGAGTATTGGCTGTTGTGCAAGCTCCAATGGCAGAGCGCCATGGAGAAGTTGACCTAATTAATTTCGTATAAATATAGGTGTACAACGGCCAAAAATTCGTTTTGGTCTGGACAGGGATCCGCAGAACCAGCCTTCTTGGAATTAGAGACCTTCTGGTTGATTTAGTTCGCAGAAACTTTACTTTTACTTTTATAACCTAACTGCTATCCTTATTACTGCAGGATTTTAAAATAATACATATTTAATCGTTATTTTACATTTATTTTTCGACTTGGAATATTTCTTTGAAATATTTTATTTCGATTTAATTCATCTTTTTGACTTAGTGCAAATTTGAAATATTTTTATTATTTCTTTCGGGATTTTTTAAGTCCATAAACGGACTTACATAATTTCGTATTTTTGCCTTTATTTTACAGGTATTTTCGAACTTGGTACTTTACGAACTTTATTTCGTAAAAATATTTATTTTTGATTTATTTAATCTTTTTAACTTAGAATTTCGCTAAATTATTTCTATCTTTCTTTCAAGATTGTTTAAGTCATAAACTGACTTAGAATAGTTTTCATATTTTATTTAATTGGGTATTTTTCAGGAATTTTTTTTTTATTGGCTTTAGGGTAAATACCCACACAGCCAGAAACAAATTTTTAAAAACAGATACAGGGATTACACTCTTCTCGCCCAGGGGCCGATCAGGGCATTTTTATATACGATAAAAGGTAGGCCTCGGACAGATATGTATGCATACATTAAGGAAAGACATAAGGTATTAACAAAGGTGGTTATATTTGTATATTCGTTGTTCTGACGAAAGACAGCAAACAATCGTAAATTTCTTTTTTTCTAAAGCAAGAAGATGCAGTATATTAAATGGGCTTTCAATGTTTGATTTTAAAAGTTTACTAAAAAGCTCATTAGATTGAGCTGAATTTTAACTTAGAATTTCATAAATTATTTCTATTTTTTATTTTCTCTTTCAGATCTCTCAAAGTCCACAAACGGACTTGGAATAATTTCATAATCGATTTATTTGATATTTTCAGGGATTTTTAACTAAGTAATTTTGTAAAATAATTTCTATTTTTATTTCTCTTTCAGATTTTCTCTAAGTCCTTAACGGGCTTTGAAGAATTTTTGCGATATTAATTTGTTTATTTTTCGCCACGCGACTTAATTAATAATTATTTCGCATAATTATTTTATTTCTCTTTCAGATTCTCTAAGTTCCTGAACGGACTTGGAAGAATTTTTATAATATTTTATATTATACAAATTATAATATAAAATATTTCTAAGAAATATAAATTATTTCTTTTCCAGGTGTCTATGTCCCCAAACGGACTTAGAATAATTTTTCCAATATTTTATTTCCTTTAGAGACTTTAAAATATTTCCATGTATAAAATATCTTACTATATTTTTACATTTTTCATAGGTCTCATCGACTTTTCGATAGCCGAAAATTGCCAAACTTTAATAACTTGCTTGGTGTTAATATTTCGTATCATGTGATTGTTGTTTATTCGCAAAGTACCCACAATAAACAATAATATCTATTTTTCAAAGAAATCGTCTGAGTAGAAATTGTCAACTTTTTTTGAAATCTCAGCGACTCTAAAGTCTCATGTGACTACTAACACTTCTCTTGAGATTCTATTCTAGACTATCAATATTCTTCATACAGATTCTTAGCATTAATTAACATTTATTGCATTTATTTAAAAAGAACCATTACTTGGACATATACGACCTATATGTCCGTGATCTCTACTTGCTCCGGTCGAATCAAGCTATGGATAGTGCAACTGGACCACCTTCACTCATTATCAAGGGGTTCAGGCCAGCAACAATATAAGGTAAATTTGCTTTATTGACCTGAAAAAGGCCTCTGACTAATTATAATATAAACAACTAGCCTAATACTAGCATAAGACACATCAACTCAAACGACGTGAGACGTATAGTGCATATAATGTATATAGCGTACCATCAATGTATATGTATATACAGGGTATAGTAAAAAAAGATGTCAGGTCAGAAGTGCACCAGATCATACTTTATATTTACTTGGATTATATGCAAAAAGTCTATTATTTTAAAAATTTACAAACCTACATATAGCAATAACATAGCCCTTTAGTCCATAAGAGCCCATACTGAACCAAAAACGTGAGACGGAGTATAGTTTGTATGTCATGATTTTTTACTTTATATTTTCAAGGAAAAATACTATGGGTCCTGGATACTCCTCTTTTTTTCGCACTGACTTTGCTACTCCCCTGTATATATGGAGTTATTTATCAATTCTTGCATTACCACTGCATTTTTATTTGTTTTGTTAAGAGTCACCACATCAATTTCAAGTTTTTCTGAAAAGTGCAAGACTGTTATGTAAAATAAAATGTTACTTAAGTACTTACAATACCTACTTCCAAACACTACTCTCACACAATTAAGGTTTGTATAGTCGTATTGACGTAACAAAACACTATCAGTCATTTCCTGTAAGTCCTCGTTGTAATCGCAGAATGTTCCCAGATATCGATCCGATTAGCGGACGGCCGATTTAACATCTTTCGCCGAATAAGGGTGTTGTAGATTGTTGTAGCCTGTAACGTCCTGCTCCGTCATATCTGCTTTAATGAAATACGCGGATAGGCGCCCGACTTTTGTTGCGTTTGGGTTGACAGAATAACTTTTAGAATAAATAAAGGGTGCGAAATATAAAACACAATAAACTTCAACCCGTATCAAATAATTGGACCATACTTATAAGGACAGAAGATAATAACAGGGAGAAATAATATTGCAAAGATGATACTTTATATTTTCCTTGATAACTTATATCCGATGTGAAATAAACTTGTAAGTTTTATTGTACAACAGTAAGGAACGAAGTAATAACAAAATAAGTGCAACAGTAGCGACCGTAAGTCAGTGCCTATGGTACTGGCTTATCAAGCAACAAATCAGTATAGAAACATTTAAAAAATGCTATTTTGAAGATTTTTATATTCACCTTCGAAGGTCAAGCAAGCCCTTAATGCTGTCACCAATGACATGTCTATAGTTAGAGCTAGCAAATTATTTCAAGTACCCCGAACAACTCTTCGGAATAAACTGCCTGG